TTTTTTTTTTTTTTGGTGCCGGGGATCGAACTTGGGCCCTTGTGCTTGCAAGGAAGGCAGGGGAACCACTGAGTCAAATCCCTGGCCCCTTGTTTTTATTTTTTTAAACAATGAAATAATAAATAGGTATATTGTGTTGAAACAAATGTTAAATGACGGAAGTGAGTATCCCTCCTCTCCTGGGTGAAAACTGGCCTCCTGGAGCACCCGGACAGCTCTGGACACCCTCTCATGTGAATTGCCAGCCCCGAGTGCTGACTCCCAGGAGCTGAGTTCCTCTGCCTGTGAGGTGGGCAGGGACAGCCCAGGACAGGAGGCTCAGAAGCAGGCTTGTGCTCAACTGGAGAACAAACGTTCAGCTCCCTTCTCTGCAGACGGCCTTCTAGCGCTGTTGCGGGGTTCAGTGTGTTAACAGAGGGGGTGCACGGACCAGGAGGTGGGTGAAGGTTCGTGCACCCCTGTCCTGTGGCTCCAGTAACCCACGGGAACCATGAGGGCCGCCCCCCTCCATCTGTACCCCACAGTTCCCCAGGAGTGCGGCTGACCCCCTCTGTCTGGCTGCTCCTTTCAGGTCTCCACCATCGGAGATGTGAGCTACGAGCGTGTGAGCAAGCGGCTGGCCTGAGCCACCAGGCCGAGCACCAAGGGGCTACGGATCCCCAATAAAACTGACTTAAGTGCAGAGTCCTCTGTTGTTGTTTTCTGGGGTCCGGAGGCAGCCTGTGGCAAGAGCAGGGGGTGAGAAGGCCCAGAGGATGGTCACTCACGCCACTCAGGCCTCCCGTGGTCCCAGGGTCTGTTGGATGCATGACACAGGAGGAGTGACTGCAGACTGCAGGACTCCTGGCCCCAGGACAGGCCACAGTGGGGTGTGGGACATGTAGTGGGACCTTGCTGTGGACCCCTCACCCCACCGGGCCCTGAGTTGTTCGAAGGCACCTTAAAGAGGAGGCTCCCAGGAGGGGGACATGCTGGTTTTCAGCTGAGCCACAGCAGGAGGCATCAGGACTTGGTGGGAGCCACAGCCCCAGGAAGGTCTGGGCTGCCAGGTTCCACCGCAGGACACAGGAGGGATGCCTGAGGAGGCCACGTCAGTTCAGCTGTGGCTCTGCTGTAATTGGTTGTGGAATTTTCTCTTTAAGCCTCAATTTACCCACTGGCAGGGAATAGGAGAAAATAATAGTCTGTGAAATGGCAGGGGACTGCCAGGTGACAGGAAGGACTAGGATGTCCAGGCTGGGGTGGGGCCCTGGAAGGAACTTGGGGAGATGGCAGAGGGGCTGCAAGCAATGGCCAGGTCACTCAGACCTAGGAAGGGGCCTGGAGCCCGGCCTTGAGGACTCTGAGGCAGCTTCGAGTCTGGCGATGTCCTTCCTGCTGGCGGGCTTCCTCTGCCCAGGGCAGGGCTGGGAAGGGTGGCCCTCTTGTCCCCTGGCAGACAGTCCCTAACCCAGAGCAGTGGGGGAGCCTGTTTCATTTTTTGTCCTAGGGAGCACTTGTCACATCTGGGCACCAACTTTATCGGTATTTTTCTGAGAAACAATTCACTTTTATTTTTACTATGATGGAAACTCATATCAGTTCCATACATGGAAAGTCAATTATTGCTGGGCGTGGTGGCACATGCCTGTAACCCGAGCATTTGGGAGGCTGAGGCAGGAGGATCGCAGTGAGTTAGAGACCAGCCTGGGCTACATAGTGAGTTCCAGGTCAGTCTCAACTACATAGTGAGACCCTGTCTCAAAAAACAAACAAATAAATAAAAGTCAATTATTATTTGCTACAAGTAGAGTTAAAACTATTAAAATAAAGCTGAACCATGTGGACTTGTAGCCAGATTCTGGTGCTTGCTCGAAGCCCATGCATCCCTGGGTAAAAAAGGGGAGAAGAGTAAAAGGCGGAGTTGTATCACCTGGAGAAGGCTCTCCTTAACTATCAGATTACTATAAGACTACTGAAAAGGGAACATATTTACCAAGAAATCATCACCTGGGCATCATGGTGCGCACCTGTAATCCTAGCTGCCTGGGAGGCTGAGACAGGAGGATCCCAAATTCAAGGCCAAGCCTGGGCAACTGAGCAAGACCTTGTCTCAAAATGAAATAAAAGGATGTTGGGCCAGGGATTTAACTCAGTGTCGTTGCAGCTGCCTGGAAAGTGCAAGGTCCTGAATTCAATTAAAAAAAAAAAAAAAAAAAAAAAAAAAAAGTAGTTGTAGCTTGGTGGTACAGCATGCCTGAAGTTCTGGGTTCAGTCCCCAGTAGAGGGAAAAAATAATTACTGAATTATTACTGAAAATGATTGAGTTATTGAAGGCAGTTCTTAAATGATCTTCAGTGTAAAACTCCCATGTGCAGGGAGGGTAAGAAACGAGGTTTGTCCAGCGTCTCGCACAGGGTCTGGCACACAGCAGACCCTCCATCCTGTCATCCCCAGCCCCCACCTCGGACAGCCTGGGCCTGGGCAGATGCTGGGCCCAGCTTGCCAGCAGCACCTCGTTTCCACCTCCCACATTTACCCTGGGACCTGTTTGTCTTTCCAAGAACAGCACCAGCCTCTCCCACCCACCCAGTGAGCCAGGATCCCACGAACTCCACTGCTTTGCCAAGACTTATTGCTAATTAAGTGAACTAGGTAAGCATTAAATTCAACTAGCAGTATTGCTGTTTCCCCTCCGGACTGAATAATTACTCATAACGAGCTTGGGTAATACGTCTCCAAATAACATAGTTAACCGTAATTAGGCAGAAAACCAAGAGGAGGCAAGGGGAAGGGAAGGCTGAGGGAGAGGGAGGAAGAGGTGGGGAGAAGGGAGAGAGATCTGAAGGACAAAGTCAAATGGCAGGGAGACTCTAAGTCCACTTCAGATCACAATTTGTTTAAACTGTATTTTACAGATACGGATGCTGAGGATCAGAGAGGGGCAGAAGTTGACCCAAGGTCACACAGCAGACTGTGGTCGAGGAGGCTAAGAGGATTGCAGACCCAGGCTTCATGCCCCCAGCTGAGGCTAGTTTCCAAGCCCTATGGAGGAAGGTGAGCCTGAGAGAAGTGTTCATTTCACTGGTCTCAGGCCTGTGGTACAGAGGCTTCCTATAGGGAGAAGTAAGTGAGCGAGGCGTGGTGCTTCATGCCTTTAACCCTGGCGCTCTGGGAGGCTGAGGCAGGAGGAATGCCAAGTTTGAGCCTAGCCTGGGCAATTTATCAACTGAGGGTGACCCTGTATCAAAACAAAAAATCCTTTTAAACAAGGCCTGGAGACGTAGCTAAATGAAGGTCCTGGATTCAGTCCCGAAACTGGCCCAGTGCCCTGCGAGGAGACATAAGTGGCTAAGAGCTTTGACTCTGGAGTCTTCCGCCCATTAGCTGTGGCCTTGGGGTAAGTCCATCCTGTCCCCGAGCTGTTTCCCCCGCAAGCCCTGTCTTGTCCTGGTGTCACATGGCTCGGAAACTGTCCCCTCCTCGGTCCCAAGGGGGTTCAGGGATGGAGGTTAAACCCACAAAGTCCATGGGCTTCTCATTCCGAAGCCTGGAGCAAGCCATGCGCCCGCTTGCTGGGGTCCGGCCTGAGGCTCCTTCCCTGAGTAACCTCCACAGCCCTCACTTTCCCACCCGGAACACACAGCCAGTGACAGTTCTACTCCGTGGGGTGGTGAGGGACATTCCGAGAACTACCACGAAAGGGGCTGATCCACAGTGAGTGCCCGAGGGCCACCACCACCAGGAGCTGTGTTCCAAACCAAGTGAGCACATGAACGAGACTGTCCACACGGCTTAGGCAGCACAAAGAAAATACAAGGGGCTGATGGTCACTGCAATGTCAGCGGAGACTCAGCACGACTGCCGTTTGCAGCTGGGTCCCCGTCACGGAGCTGCCCTGGGCACAGTGTTCAGCAGCATCCTCGATCTTCACCTAGTCAGCAGAACTGGGAGAGAGCAAAACAGAGACTCCGCACCAGATATTGGTAGCATTTTTCCTCCGCTGTGACGGCTGAATATGTCCGGATGTGGGAGGAGCCAGGGCTGCAGGGACTGAGGGCGAAGAGCAGTCCAGAGAGGGCTGGGAGCTGGGACAGGCAGACCGGAAACCTCGAAGGGCGTGAAGATGGGAAGCCAGACTCTAACCTCAGTGGCAGTGTCAGTCTGCAAAGAAGTAGGTTCCCCCGGAAAAGGGTTCGGGGCTGGGGATTTAGCTCAGTGGTGCCACTGCCTGCTTCTACAGTGCAAGGTCTACAGTTTGATCACCGGTACCAAAAAAAGGGTGGGGATTTAGCTCAGTGGCACAGCTGCCTCACAAGAACAAGGTCCCTGGTACCAAAAAAAAGAAAAGCGATCAGGATGCCCTCCCCCGCACCCCCAGAGTAGGGACAGACACTTTGCTGTGGAGACCAGAGGAGAACAGAGGTCTCATTGGCCTCTTCTGTGAGCCCGGAGAACGGCTGCACGCGGGTAACTGCGTATTAGGGAAAACACAGCTGAGGTTAAGTTGTTTAGCAGCGCACATACGAATGGATATTGGAAAACACATGAACCTTGTGTTACTGTGATTGCTTGTGCCCGTGTCTGGGTGAATAAAAGTGAGGTGAGGGAAGCGCTCGGGCTCTTGGGCCTGCTGGACGCAGAGGCCCTCTCGCTGTCTGTGTTGAGCAGACTCTGTCTCTGTCGTCAGTCTTCATTTGCTCCGAGTCGGGGAGGAACAAAGTATCAGGTCTCGGTACCAGGACAATGTGGGCTGAGTGAGTTGGCTACAGGTGGCGCCCAGCAAGGGGCTCAGGACTCGGGCTTACTCACATCGTACAGCAGGAAGAAACAATGCGCAGAACAAATCTGAAGCCGAGAACTTGGGTGGCTCAGATTCAGGCTGGGGCCAGGGATTTAGCTCAGTGGCATTGTGTCTGCCTTGTAAGCGCAAGGTCCTGATTTCAATCCCCAGTACCAAAAGACCCAAGAACAGATTCAGGCTGGGACACTGGTTCCTCTCTCCTTTGAGCATGGGGACCATGCTTTGCATATGTGTTCTTTCTTATGACCCTCAAAGAAATGCTGCATCTGAGTCACTGGAAAGCTGACCAAGAATGAAGATTCTAGGGTCCTTACCCTTTCTTTTTTTGGTACCAGGAGGCAGGCGGCAGTCTTTACACTCCTTTTTTTTTGAGCGGGGCTACTGGGGTTTGAACTCCAGACTTTGCGCTTGTGTCCTTACCCTTTCTTTTTTTGGTACCAGGAGGCAGGCGGCAGTCTTTACACTCCTTTTTTTTTTGAGCGGGGCTACTGGGGTTTGAACTCCAGACTTTGCGCTTTCAAGGCAGGAGGTGGCACCACTGAGCTAAATCCCCATCCACCATCTTTACCGTTTTAAAGAGGGCCCTGGGAGGGACTTTAAGGCCATCTCTGCATTTAGAAAATTTTTCCTAGTCAGTTCCTAGCCGTCCCCAGCAGCGTGCAAACTGACAAGATCTTGCAACCTGTGGTCATGTGTGGAGGGGATGAACGTGTATCCTTGTGACTTGAGAAAGGGTTTGGGGGCCCCAGGGCTCAGCCTTCCCCTGGAGCTCACACCCTGCCATCAGTTCAACCATCTCCGTGGTACAGAGGGAACCGGAAGTCCAGAGGGAGGGCCCCTGGGTGAAGTGGATGCTCTTGGTGAACCTGACTTGCTTTGTCCGAAACCTCCAGACCTGGATTCCCCTCCTGGCCTTGCACGCAGCACGTGGGGCGTGCTGTTCCCACACACACTCCTGGGTCTGGGATGCAGTCTCACAGCCTCGCACATTTCCCCGTACCTCCCACCCCGAGCAACCCTCTCAGCCCTGCAGGACAGTGGCTCAGGGTGGTTTTCCTCTTGGACACTGGTGGGCAGAGGGCAGGACGCAGCCTCTGGGTAGGATGGTGGAGTAGTCTCTGATTTCTCCATAGCAGCAGAAACTACATCCCATCAACTCTACTGTATACCATTTCTCCCCCCATGTGCCGGGAACTGAACCCAGGGCCTTTGCACTGAGCTAAATCTCCATTGTTTTTATCATTAAATTTGGAAACAAAGTCACTAAGTTGCCCAGCTAAATTTTCTTTTTTTGGTTGTTGTTACTGGGGATCAAGCTTGGGTCCTTGTGATCGCAAGGCAGGCAGTTGGAACCACTGAACTAAATTCCTGGCCCTAAATTTTTTGTTCTTAATTCTCATTGGTTTAGTTGGCAGGGGTTTGTTTTCAGTTTTGCTTTTGTGGTGCTAGGGATGGAAGCCTGGCCCTTGCACATGCAAGGCAAGTTCTTTATGACAGCTCCATCCCATACCCTTGGCAGGTGTCCCCTGATCTTAGGCACAGTGGCAGGAATCGATAGTCTAGTTACTTGGGACACCAAAATGGGTCACCAAGCCCAGGAGTTTGAGACCAGCCTGGGCAACATCTTTAGACTCTCTCAAAAACAAAAAGCAGACCACAGAACCAAAACAGAAAGGAAAAAAAAAAAAACAAACAAAAACCTTCTGGAAGCAGTGGCCTATACCTGTATTTCCAGCTACTCAGCAGGCTGAAGCAAGAGGATGGTGAGTTGGAGACCAGCCTGGGCAACTTAGTCAATCCTGTCTCAAAATAAAAGGGCTGGGGATTTAGTTCAGTGGCACTGTACCTGCCTTGCAAGTACAAGGTCCTGAGTTTGATCCCTGGTACCAAAAATAAAAAAGTAAAAAATAATCAATTAAAGAACTGGGAACGGGGATGTAACTCAGCAGAAATGTTCCTGGATTCAAGCTCAGTACAAAGCAATAGACCAGAACCCCCAAGTTACTGGTACATCAAATAAGGCACCTCTTACAGATCTTTTTAAATTTTTTTTTATTTTTTGAGACAGGAGTCTCACTGTAGCCGAGGCTGGCTTGAACTTGTGGCAATCCTCCTGCCTCAGTCTCCCAAGGGCTGGGATCACAGACACCCAGCTGCTCTTACAGACCTTATGATTATGTAATAATCACCTTTCTTGGAGGTTCTGGCCTTGAAAGGTACTTAATCCTGCAGTCTGCACCCTATGACTGAGCTATAACTTTGATTTATGGCCCTCTTTGTAACAGGTGAGAAGGCTGAGCCTAAGAGAGGGTGGTCTAGGGCCCACCAGTAGCTAGTAAGTGGCTGTGACAGTCAATTTTAGAGCCCCCTTGGCTGGGCCACAGTGTCGTTCTTTGACAAAACACCAATCTAGAATGTTGAGGTGAAGCTGTTTTTTTCAGATGTGATTAACACCCACAACCAGGTGACTTTAAGAAAAGCAGATTATCACTTGGGCACATGGTGTGCACCTGTAGTCCCGCACTAAGAGGCTGGGGAAGAAGGATCACATTTGAGCCCAGCCTGGGCAATTTGTGACTTAGCGAGACTCTTTCTCATTAATAAAATATAAAAAGGCCCAAGGATATACTCAGTGTGAGGGCCCTGGGTTCAATCCCTCTTACCCCCCACCCACGAAATCTGATTATCCTCCGTAATGTGGTAGGGCCCCATTCAAAGGACTTTTAGAGCAAAGATTAAAGAAGCTTCTTGGAAAAGGAATTTTCCTTCAAAACCATAGTACAAATACCATCCCTGAGTTCCTGATTTGTTCCCCAGTCCTACAAATTTCAGACTCGAATGTGATATCAACACTTACCTGAGTATTTATTTACTTTTTTTTTGTTTGTGAAAGAGTTTCACTATTTAGCCCAGGCTGGCCTTGGAATCCCATGCCCAGCTCTCAGCTGACTATGCAGCCTGCTGGCTTGCTGCCCTGGAGATTTTGATGTGCCCCTGATCTGACCGAGTGAGCCAGTTCCTTAGAGTAAATCTCCCCCCTGCCCTCCTGGTCTGTCTGCCTTGGCAGCCTGACAGCAGCACCAGAGAGCAGGCAGACGATGTCGAGCCTTACTCTGCCCCTGGTCTCTGTGTCCTCAGAAGAAGGACCCAGCTCCAAAGAAGCCAGTCTTGCTGCTGTGAACCCCAGCACCTCCCGTCCTGGGGAGACTCACAGCGCTGGCTGGAGAAGGGGAGGGGAGGGGTGGCCCAGGAAGAGAACACAGCGAGTAAGAGCAGGTGACATGTTTATTGCAGGATGCCTACTTCTGGGAGCTGGTCTGGCTGAGGGAGCCCCTTACAAGCCTGCAGGCCCAGAAGACAGATACAATAACTCAGAATCCAAACCAGCCACACATAAATAGAAAGAGGTCGGCAAAGGGAAAAGAAAAACAACAAACGAACTGTGCACTTTCCTATGCTAGAGTGACAAAGCTGCGTGCCTTCCCCAGGCCCAATCTCTTCTTACTGCCTGCTCGCTGAGATTCTAGTCTCTGAAAAGCTTCACCATCTTCGGGTCCTTCCTGGCCACTGTCTCCTAGACTGGCAAACGGGTCAAGAAAACCAAGATGGCTTCTTCTAAAAACAAAAACAAAAACAAACAAACGAGCACAAATTGCTTCTGCTCTAATGGGTGAAAATGTGTCCCCTGACAACAAACCAAAAGAACACGCTGAGCCTGAGCGCGTTCAGAACAAAAACATATTGCACATGGTTACAAGAGTCTTCCTGAGATCCCTTCTGCAGCAGCTCCCCGAACCCTGGCTTTCCATCCACCACCCCCTTACCTACCAGTGGTGGCAGTGGCAGTGTCACACGCCACGACACCCCCTCTCCAGATCCAGATGGCGGTAGGCAGACCTCCCACACTGGCCGCTGAAAAGCCGCGGCTCCACGCACCTGGTGGAGGGAGGTGGGATTGTCTCACCCTTTGTTAAGCCTTGTCTGTAAATCCCTTTCCCTCCCGCACGATTAGCGAACTTCTACAGATGAAGACAGCATCCAAGTGGGAGAATCTTCTGGAACGGACAGCTCCTCAGCCATTCACTACTGAAAATGAAGCTGTTATTACCCGGGGGTCCCTCACAAGCTGAGATAAAAGAGCCTTCGCCTGAGATGGGCAGTGTGGCAATTACAGTTTTTTTTTTAACTTAAGGAATTTTCAAGTATCACAAAATCCCTGATGCAACATGTAAACAAGACATCTTGCAGGACAGAAAGCTAGATCACTCGGAGAAGCAGCAGCATGTGAAATATCTAAAAGGCTGACAAAGGTTTCAGGGTCAACAACAAAGGCAAGAGCCCCCTGCTGGGCCCTGCAGGTGCAAGCATGCCCAGGGTCCTTCCATTCTGAAGCCGGGGAGAGACAGCGCCAGAGAGGGCACTGTGCGGGGGTCCTGGGCTCACATCAGGATGCGCCTCCGTTTTCAGCACTGGAACCGCCATCGGCAAAGAGCAGAGAAATCTCTGGGTGAGTGGTCTGTGTACAGTTTCTTGTCCTCTGCCCTCTCACCAAATCTTTCTTGATTCACAGGGCACCGTGCCACCTCTGTACCCCAGGCCTGTTTGAAGGTTTTTCCGAGAGATGCTCTCCACTGAGGTCTGTCCCTGAAGGCTTTGCTCTGGCTGGTTTTATTATAAAACAGCCTGACCCCTCCTCATCCAAGGGCACCAGGCTCCTAAGGAATGGTCTCTGGCTGCCTCCCCTGTGTCGTGTCCTCTTCGGTGCTCTCTTCCTCCACCTGGGTCTTCGAGGCTTCCCCACACGGCCCCAGGTGGCCTATCTATCAAAACAGCCTGCGGGGAACAGGTGGCCCCCGCTGAAGTAGCTGCTTCTGTAGGTGGCAGCAAGGCAGTGCCTGGGCTCGGCTGCGATGGCCATGTGCATGCTGAGGGACGCAGGGAGGGGCACGGGACACACGTCCACGGGCTGGAGGGTTGGGTACGGGCTGTGGAGGGGCAGGCCTGTGCCCGCTGAGAGTAGGCTCCCAGAATGGTGGGCCTGCAGTGAGTCCCGGTAGGCCAAGCACAGGTCCTGCACAGGAGCCTGGAGCTGGGCCAGGGTGGCCGTCGGCTGGCCGAGCGCAGTGTAGGCTGGCAGGTGGAGCAGCACTTGGGAGGGGGTCGGCGGCGTGCCTGGCACCATTGCCAAGGCCTGGCTCTTGACCGCAATGGCATCCTTGAGGACACTGTCATATGCTCTGAAAGGGAAAGACTCTGTGAGAGTTGCAGGTGACAGGTTGCCAGACACCTGTGTGCACCTCTACCTTCCTTGGTGGACCTGGAGAGACCCATGTGTCCTGTGGCCAGGCCTTGCTTGTCTGTGCAAGTGTCTAAGGCCTCTGCTCCTTACCTGTTAGACCCGGGGCTCAGCTCCCAGCCTGGAACTGCTGCCTATAGAGGCCCCTCAAGTCCAGACTAAGCTGTCCCTGTGGCCCTGTCTTGGCAGATGACACCCGAGGCTAGCTTGAGTCTGTCTGCTTTTGCTCACTACTGTAAAAGCAGCTGGCCCAGCAGAGAACTCCCTGGGCCTGAAGGAGCACAAAGCAGTCACAGCTGGGTCACGCCCCAGCTAGCCAGACACCAGGCGAGCTGCTGCTGGGGTCTGAGCATCTCCTCAGGTAAAAAGGAATACAATATCCTTTTCCCCATGTTAAATAAAGCACATGGGTGTGGTGATGCACACCTGTAATCCCAGCCCTCAGGAGGCCGAGACAAGAGGATCCGAGAGTTTGGGTCCAGCCTGTGGTACACAGTGAATTTAAGGCCAGCCTGAACTACAAGGAGAGATCCAGTCTCTCAGTAAATAAGTACATAAGTAAGTGCTGGAGATGGAGGGGAGCATCCCAGAGCATCAGCTGTCGGGGCAGAGTGAGGCTGGGTGGGAGGCTAAATACCGGGACCCTTTAGCGCCCAACAAGCAGTGTCTTCTGCCCTTTAGGGCCTTCTGCAGTAGCATGTATTTTAAGACGAGCGTCTGGGGGCAGGACTGACATTTCAAAGGGTGAGTCCTTGGCAGCTGCCAGCACAGCTTCCCAGAAGGGGAAGCTAAGAGACAGCTCTCTGAAGCCCAAGGGCTTCTGCTTTTACCATCCGGGCCCACCGGTCAGTCAGGTGGCATCCAGGATGGGCTGCTGCTCACTGAGAAGTCGAGGGAGTGGCCTGGCCAAGCCTGCAGGACCTGTCCCATCCTGTCTGCCCTCCTCCCTAAGGCTGCTTATAAACTTTTCCAGCCTCCCAGATCTGTTTCAGTGTTTGATCAAAGATGTCTTTAAGCATCTTCTCTGATACCAGAAGAGGTTCCTTCCCAAGACTCAGGGAACCCTGGCAGCAGGCCTCTCAGGTGAAGCCAGTCCAGTTTTAGCTGTCTTGGAGGTCAGCTGTGCAGCTGTGTCCGAGAAAGCAGCTTCTGAGACCCTCTCGGTGTGAATATCCACAAGATCACCTCAGGACTTAGATCAAAGGGCTCTGACGTTTGAAAGAAGGGCACATAACTCTCCTCTCCCTCATCCCCAGCCTTACAAATACAGAGCCAAAGTTATGGCACATAGCAAGGGCCAATTCCCCAAGACCCACAGGTACACTTTACACAAGACATTTAGCTGGGGGAGCCACCGCCTGCTTCAAACATCGGAAATGCCCCCGTGAGCTGATGAGGCCCCTCAAGGGCAAGTGAAACCTCAATATCTCAAGAGGTGCAGGTCAGGAGAGGAACTTACACCAGCAGGATCTCGATGCAGGCACTGAGATGTTCCAGGGAATAGTTTGAGATCCTCTGCAGCTCTGTGGTCCAGCAGGGAGACAGCTGCAGGCAGATCCTGGAGGCCCCTACACAGGCGGCAGCGGTCACGGAGGGCCGGAATTTGTAGAATATGTGATCTGAAAGAGAATCCCGGAAGGAGTCGGCATCTTACAGCTTCCCTGTAGAGTTTCACGTCCACCCTAAGAAGTGGAGAACAAGGCAGAAGGTTCTGGTGGTGGGGTGGGGTGTCCCTGCTGCCCTTAATTAAGAATGGATGAAAAGTGAGAAAATGTGAAGTTTTCTTACTTCATCTTTAGCAGCGGTTCCCTAATTTCTGCTATGGTATCAAGCAGGGTGATATTTCAAAATAATTGTTCACTGCAAAAAGCTGGCTGAGGGGCTACACACAGAACCCCGGAACATCAGCCCCTTTCTGGTTGTTACAGGTGAATGACACCACTGTAAAGGACTTCTAAAGGGTAAAATAGCAAGCACACCTTCCCTACAGCACACTCAGTAAAAATCTGTGGAAAGAGTGGCTGTTCAATATTCGCCAGGCATGGTGGCGCACACCTGTAATCCCAGCCCTTGGGAGGCTGAGGCAGGAGGATCACTGTGAGTTCGAGACCAGCCTGCTACATAGTGAGTTCCAGGTCAGTGTCAACTACATAGTGAGACCCTGTCTCAAAACAAAAACAAAAACAAACAAACAAAAAAGAGTTCGATATTCACAACACAAATGGGCACTTTACCTAGGTTGAGAAATCGTACATCGTACTAAATAGATGGAACACAGTAAAGGGATATTATTTTTGTGCAGAGCCAAACAGCTGAGATCGCTAGAGTTGTCAGGAGTGATACTTGGTTTTAAGTGCGATGCTATGTTGCCATAAGTTGCTCGAGACTTAGTAACTTCAGCTTTTGCCTTTTAAAGGACCGACTGGTGAGATGGCATTATGGGTACAGGGCAGTCACGGAGCCAGATTCCCAGGTTCAAATTCTAGCAACGATGTGCGGTAAGTTATTTCTCCTCTTTTGTAACGTGATAACGACTGAAATGCTGCTTGTGTGAGGTCACTGTGAAGTTTAAAGGAGTAGGAAAAGCTCTAGAGTAAGATGCTGAGCACACTGTAAGAGCTCAATTAATCATAATCACTGGTATTGCCACTCGAGGTCATTTTGGTTTTGTTTTTGTTTTTGAAGTACCAGGGATCGAACTCAGGACTCTGTGCTTACAAGGGTAGCACACTGTAAGAGCTCAATTAATCATAATCACTGGTATTGCCACTCGAGGTCATTTTGGTTTGTGGAGCATCACTGACTGCCTATAAGCAGTATTTCTCACTGGCATTTTGTTTTGTTTTTGTTTTTGAAGTACCAGGGATCGAACTCAGGACTCTGTGCTTACAAGGCAGGTGGTGGATCCAATGAGCTAAATCCCCAGCCCCTGACTGACATTTTGTCTAACACCTAGGATCTTGCTATGTAGTCTAGGCTGGACTTGAGCTCACTACATAATTCAGATTGTCTGTGAACTCATGATCCCCCGGCTCAGCCTCCTGAGCTCCTAGATTTAAGATACTGGGAAGAGTAGGTTTCGAAAGAGAGCCCCAGAACAGGGCCACTTTCATTGCTGAGGCGCATGTGAACAAAGCTGCCTCCCCTGTGCTGTCTGTGGGAGGACTGCCTGGTTCTGAAACCATCTGCAGGGTCCCAGGGCGTCACGGTGAGTCGCCAGGTGCCTCTTGCGGTGTTGGCTGCCTGTGTAAAGCCGCTGTTCCTTTCCGGCATCACTAGTAACACACGGGGTCACACCTGGCCCCTGCTCTGCTCACCCCCTGGAAAGCGACAGGGTGCTCTGGCCGTCCCTCTATAGAAGCCTCTCTCTGGACGGACTTGCCCCTTGGGGACACCCAACCCCAGCCCCTATGGCCCTGCCCTGGGGCCCCCGTCATGTCCAAGGCCCTTACCTTGCAGGGTGACCTCGAGGAAGTAGTGGGCATACTCCTTGAGGCACTCTTTGGTCTTGCGGGGGCAGGTAGTGGGCCAGGTGTGGCAGTGGTGGTCTTTCTGGCTGACGGAGGCCAAGAGGTAGTAGTCCAGGAAGTGTGCAGGCGTGGGCAAGCAGAGGTTCCAGCCGAAGGCCTCCAGGAGCAGCAGCTCCGTGCTCAGCAGCTCCCTCTTGCTGAGTGAGAAGTTCTGGCTGCTCAGGATCCTTGCGCTGTTTATCTGCTCCAACTTGGGCACGTGGTCTTCTCTATCCTCAAACTTACCTATGGGGTAGGGAGAGCACAAGTTCCTGGAGATCTTACATCCAGGATGCTAAAGGCATCTTCTAGCACCTGTGTGCATAGAGGACAGGAACAAGCAGAAAGGCTGGATGGCCAGGGTCTCAGAACACATGCAGTATCTGTCGAGCCTGGGCCTGTCTCCCCAAACCATCACTTGTAGCTGTGTGATTATGTCCAGGTGTCTCAACCTCTCTGTGGCTCAGGCTCCTCATCTGTAAAATGGAACCTATGCTTCCGGGCTTTGTGACATTCAGTGAGAGAACGCACATCATATGATTATCCGAAACACAGAGCAGTCAGCGGTGCAGTCAGGGCTGGATGGGTACAAGATGCTCTCCACAGCTCCTGCCGGGCTCTCTCAGCCCACCTCCAGGTGAGCCAGAATGACCTTGAATATCTGACCTTGATCCTCCACACGAGGAAAAGTCCTTCCATGGCTCCCCATAGTCTTTAGCATGGATCTCGAACTCTTTAAGTGGGGTCTTGTTTTGGGTTGCCTTGGAAACAGTCTGCTTGGAAGGTGAGCCAGGAAAGACAGGCAGGCCGGGGCAGGAAACCGGAAGGGGAAGAGAGCCTCACAGTGCACACTCACAAGCACCCCTTCAGACAGCTGGGGCTGGGCCTTACTGAGGGACTTTAGGAAATGGCCAGTCGTGTCCCACCTAAGGGTCAGGGACAGAGGTGCTGGCTGTGGACAGCTCACAGGGGACGAGGGCTTCTCTGGCACGAGGGTCAAGGCCCCTGGCAGCTGGGGTGGTGCGGCCTCTCTGGGCCCAGGGCACCACACTCTAGACGCCACCCCACATCTGCACAGGCCCTGCTGCTAGCCCTTCTTTGAAAATACCAAGCTCTCCTTGCCTTGTCTACGCAGCCCCCTGTCCAACCTCAACATGTCCTTCCCCTTCTAAGTCACTGCCTCTCGGAAGCCTCTCCACCCCCCACATCTAGCGCTGAGCCCCTCCAGGACCTGGTCTCAGTCTGGTCACGTGCAGCCACCACGCCCAGCTTCACAGGGTGCAGAGCAGCTGTGGGGAGATCGTCAGAAAGACTGCAGGGTGCCCTGCCGGGCCCTCAAGTGGAACAGCAAACAAAGCTCTCACACACCTGCTCAAACTGCGAGGCCTCTGCCCCAGTTTCTCGTCAGTCCCCGTGGTTCCGGGACAGATAAGGGAGCACTACCTACCGCCTGCTCCACGGCAGATGCAAAACCCTCTGCAACACAAAGCATGGTCTGCGCAGCTCTGGGCTGAGGGGAGGAACCGAGCAACGGAAATGATGACACTGTTGACCACCTCTGGCAGCTGGCCCAGCACTGCCTGCCAAGCGCACAACAGGCGAGTGGGGGAGGAAGCACAAGGTCAGAGCTGCCCAAGGAGAAGCATCCTCTGCATGGCGGGTACACAGGCCCTTCTGGCTCCTGCAGCCTGGCCCCCTCGACCCTAGGCACAGGACACAGGCACATGGGACTCAGATCCTTGTCCTGGCTGGGAGTGCTCCTCCCTCCTGTCATCTTATGTCTTCCAGAGCTCAGTTCAGAGGCCACTGGCTGTCATCTCAGTGCATCTCATATTCAGGTGATGTGCCATCAAAATTCATAGACAGCCGGGCATGGTGGTTCACGCCTGTAATCTCAGCACTTGGGTGGCAGAGGCAGGAGGATTGCTGCGAGTTGAAGGCCAGCCTGAGCTACAAAGTGAGACCCTGTCTCAAAAAAAAAAAAACACACATGTCCTGGCTGGGAGTGCTCCTCCCTCCTGTCATCTTATGTCTTCCAGAGCTCAGTTCAGAGGCCACTGGCTGTCATCTCAGTGCATCTCATATTCAGGTGATGTGCCATCAAAATTCATAGACAGCCGGGCATGGTGGTTCACGCCTGTAATCTCAGCACTTGGGTGGCAGAGGCAGGAGGATTGCTGCGAGTTGAAGGCCAGCCTGAGCTACAAAGTGAGACCCTGTCCAAAAAAAAAAAAAAAAAAAGATCATAGACACCAAGCCCTCCAGATCCTATCCACATGGGTCTTAATGGGGTGTAGGCCATCTGCTGCTCTGCAGTTCCCAGCACATTTCCTGGCACATAGTAGGTGCCAATAAATCAGTCACTGCATGATCAATCCTCCCTGGATGGAGGAGTTTCTAGCCACTTGCCTTTTTCGACGATCTTTTATTCCCTATATTACCCTCCTGTAATCGCGCACTTTTTCACAACATTGCCCAAGTTCTCCTGGCTGTATGCACTAAAAAAATACAAGCTCCCCACCCTGCTTCTTTGGTGCTTGAGCTCAAACCCAGGGTTTCAGGTGCAATAGGCAAGTACTCTACTACTGAGCTACACCTGCAGCCCCAGGACCTTGCTTTTCTTCCTGGTGGAGAAAGGAGTGGCCAAGCCTTGCGCCCAGCATTCCCACCCGCCAGCAGACGCTCAGTAGGATTACTTGCCTCCCCTCTACTCCCCTCCCTGCTTTCCAGACCTCCCAGAGGTCTGTCTCCAGGCCAAGGGCAGGGCTGAAGTTTACTGAGGAGTCTCACTCCTACACTGGAAAGCCTCAGAACCCACCACCCTGCAGACCCGCTTCGGCCAGGCAGGAGGCCCTTCCAGGGACACCCAGGCTGGAGAGTTCAGCTCCTATACCCAGAAGCCACTCTGGAGCCCTGGCTCTCACTTGTTGGCCAAGCTGACTGCAGCACAACACATTTCACAGCCAGAAAAGACTTTATGGGTTTCCTAGCGTTGTACGGGCTCCGCAGACATTTCCTCCCCTCCTCCCAGGAGTGGGGCTGGCCCTTTGTCCCTTCGCTGCCACCACTGAGTGAGGTTACTCAGCTGCTTCCTCCTTATCAACGAACTGCGCAGGCAGCAGATTCCTGGAAGTCTTTGGGCTGGTCCCCCGGGAGACCCTGGGACAGCGTCCCAGCCACACAGCAGCCACGAGGCTCCTGTCCACTCCCTCAGTGCACTTTTTACTTTGAAAATCTTCACAGAAAAGATGAAAAGGATGGGCATATGCGACCCCCCATTCCCCAACGGTGGAACCACTGAGCTAAATCCCTAGCCCTTCAGCGTTTATTCTTGAGGATACTTTCCTACCATCATCACAGTACTGGAAGTTCCATCAAACTCTAAGGTAATAACAGTCTGATATTCATTAACTTTCTCCAGGGATCCAGGATCCGAACCAAGTTCTCACATGGAATCTGCTGTCTTGTTTTGTTTTGTGGTGCTGGGGATCCAGCCTAGGTCCTCACACATGCTAGACAAGCACTCTACCCTCGAGCTGCATGCCAAGCCTGTTAGATCTCTGTAGCCCCATATTTGGCTTTATTCTTTGTGACACTGGCCCTCTGGAAGAACCTGGGGCAGTTGTCTTTCCCCATTCCAGATTGGCTGGATTTTTACCTTGAGCTTGGACATGTCTCAGTCTAGGCAAGAAAACAGCACAGAAGTGACGTTTGGTGGTTCCTACAGGATCACGCCAGGAGTCGCCCACACATCATTGTGCCCCAGCAAGGGGGAAGCCGTGTGACTGTGGGGGTACAGTGGCGACATTCAAGCTATCCATTTCACAGGTAGCAACTTCCCTGTGAGATTAATAACTAGACGGTCCCTTCCCGAATTATTATAACGGGATAAAAATGATATTTTATAAATCCTATCACTGCCTACATGTTTTCTTTTTCTGTTCACATGGTCCCACATCTGAATAGTAGAAATCTCAGCACACTGCTAGATTCAAAATGACCCCAGATCAAAAGGAATAAATATGAGAAAAGGATAAAATGGAAACAAAGTCTTTGTAAATAGAGAGGGGTGGAGAGGTTGAAGGGAGGGCAGGGGAATGGGGAAAAAATAAGAACCAAGATCCGTCATGTAAAGGTGCAAATTCCCAATGATGAATGTCATTGTACTGTATACCTAAAATGTACCAATAAACAACAAAAATGAAATAAGGAATAAAAAACAAAAACCAAAACAAACCCAGATCTATGGAGGCACTCGCGGTGGCTCTCAGGCCGCGCAGGAGCATGGCGTGAAGCGTGCAGCAGCTGTCTCGTGTGTCCTGTGCACTTCGCTGACTGACCACTGACCCTTCCAGTCCCGAGGCCGGTGCACAGAGAGCAGCCAGAGCCCTGACCGCCTTGAGTCCAGCCAAGTGGCCTTAGCTCTTGACCACAGACAGGCCGTGGCGGCAGAGACACTTGCAGAACTTGCAGACTGCCTTTGCTTCTTTTTACAGAATTTAAAAAAGAAAAACCAGCTCTGGTGAAAACCATATACCATCGCATTTGCCATCTTTTAAACAATGATGTACAACCATTACCACCACCTGTCTCCAGAGTTCTATGGAGAACATGGGAGCACAGCCTCAGGCAGGGGGTTAATACTCCTCGAAGGGCTTTCTTCTTCCTCCCTCTCTGTCCCTTTAACATGCTGGGTTTAAACCTAGAACCTCAGACACACCAGGGTGTTGGGCAAACTCTACCACTGAGCTACATCCCCAGCCCCTTTTATTTATTTATCTTTTTCTTTTTGAGGAAGGGTCTCCCTTTGTAGTTCAGGCTGGCCCTGAACTCACTGTGTAACCCAGGCTGGTCTTGAACTCGATTCTCCTGCTTCCCTCAGCCTCCCGAGTGCTGGAATTACAGGCTTGCACCACCACACCCAGCCCCTCTTTTTTTTTTTGCTACCAGGGATCAAACTCAGGAACTTGTGCTTGTGAAGCTGGCGGAGGAATCACTGAACTAAATCTAAATCCCCAGCACCTCCGGCCCCTCTTTTTTTAAATCAATGCTTTTCTCCAAAAATAATGTCTTCAGCATCCCCTGATGTCAACTAGGAGTGCGTTACAGTTTGGGTCTGGATGTCCCCCCAAAGCCTCATGTGGTCATAGGGCTTTTTCGGAGGTGGCTGAATCCAGAGCGTGTGATACTGTAAGGGTGTACTATTACTAAACCAGTCCACTGACTGGACTAGCACAGCCCTAATT